TTTACTGCCTACTCCTTTTTATTGGCAAGGTATTTGCGAAATATAACTTCAATGAAGCTGAGATATTGGCAAATTGCGGGTGATTGCTGATGGCAAAAGATCGATAGAACTAGCTGAGAGACAAGGCAAACGAAGGACCCTCATGGTGTGGTGGCGAACGCGTTACTCCCCGGAAAGGACTATAGCGCGTTCGTTCTCCACCGTAGACACCTGCTTTCGGGAGTTTTGCCAATATCTCAAATTCATTGAAGTTATATTCTTAAGATTGTTTACGTTACACTACATTGTTACCAAACTGTTTATTCGGCTAACGTTTAGGCGTCTTCACTTTCTTCAGAATCGTGATTATTCGAGTCGATGGTCCACAGTCGTTCGCTCTTGCGATGTTGGTTTCCACTGTCGCATTCAGTCGAGTCTTTTGTTGTGGTGCACCGCTCGAATGAAGAACATCACTCGGTAGTGCATTTTTATACAGAACGGTTGTACCTTCACAATTTTTTGTTTATATTAGATTAGTCAGCACAAGGACACTGCAGAGTGAGGTCACTTTATTCGAGCATTGCTCCACTGTAAGAGATGCATCGATGCGACTATGAGGAACCAAATCGCAAGAACGAACGGCTGTAGCCATTCCACTTGAATCACTACGGCTCTGAAGAAGACGAAACATCTGCCGAATAAAGAGTTTATTCACAACCTAGCATGAACTGAACAATCTATAAAAATACTGATTAATCATGCCTTAGCTAAATGAAAGTCGGTTTAGAAAAGAAATAATGTAACGTTCCTAGATGGAAGGTGTATTATATACGTGGTTTCATGTGTTGTTATAAATTCTTTAATGTGGGGTTATTTCACGTAGATGAAAATCCACGGGTGTTGAGAATCTGGGACTACGGCATTTGGAATGATTTGTTATGCTGCTATCATTAATATTAACACCTCCTGGTTATTTACAATGGAAATAGTTTGTTTCTGAGCGAAGTTGGTCATATGAGTTCTCATGCTGACAATGTGTTCGTGCAACTCATCGCTTGAATCCGAGAAGTGTCAGCGCACCCGACTACGAAGCTGGTGCAGTTTTTTATCCTGTAAAACAAGCAGGTGACTCATTGCTTTCAATACTGTATTGAATATTACTCTATTGAACATTGAAAGTAGCGAGTGTTGCTATAAGTTCTGCCTATAACAAGCCCCATAAGAGAATCTACAATAAAAGATCTTAACTCTATGAATCCGTTGATGAGGCTATCCATGAGGCGGACCAGTTCACCAAGATCCTCGCTAGCAATGTGATGACTAGAGTGGCCCAAGTAGGCACAACCCGTCAAACAAAGTGGTTTGATATCAAGTCTGCCTAATTAAGAGGCCAGCATCGATACTTCTTCGATATGATTGACCCACAGATTTTTCCTCTGTCTGCTTCCGAAGAGAACGCCAAATAGAGAAATCGATGCCCATTTCTCTGAATTTGTTAAAGTCTAGCCTTCAGGTATCAAGTGCATTGAAGTCGGCACCACCACGAGCGGAGCACAACTAGACGACAATCTGGTGGTCAGGTACAACATGATTACACATCCTCATCGCCACTGGTGTTCATGGGCTAGTGCCATTATAACCGGAGGCAAAAAATGCTAGATATACCTGTATCTAATCATTACCCTTGCTCACAATTCTGATGGAGGCCCACTCTTTTTACCTCAGAAGCTTTTCACATTTGATTGGGCTCTCAGCGGGTTCCTTAAAAGGCTAAAAGACGAGAGGCTGGTCGTCAGAAGAACTTCTGTATGGAAAAGCGTCGTTGAGTTTAGAAGTGAACCAAAAATGTAAAGATTGGGGTCCGATACGATGATATCGAACAACATGTGAGAGGAATTACACCAAAACTGTATGCTGAAAATCAGGTAGTAACCAATTTACAAATCGCTTAATTTTATGCCATATTAGAACATTACCTCAACTACAAAGCAACTTCTTTGTCGCACTATCGAGGTGAACGTCATGGGTGCACCACGTTTGAAAGAGTGGAAGAAATCAGATTAAAAATGCTCATATAGATGCTACTACTTATTGCCTACTCAGAGTCTCATAACGCTTATGAAAAAAAGCTTACATTTACACTAAATGGAAGATTTGAGATGCTTTCTATTTTTTTTAAACTGAATGAATCACGAATGGTGCGCAATGATAACAAGATCCAATGGTCAAGTAGAAGCTAGAAGCATTTCAACACAACGAATCTACATTTTCAACGTCTCGATCGTATGTTTTAGTTGAGCTTTGTCAATTCTGTGGCATGATTTGCATCCCTCTCGTGAGCTCTGCAATCAACAATGATTTCGTCTTGTCAACGAAGAAGTGGTTGTTATCGAATCTAATGCTTATACAAAGACGATTTACCGCTTTTCCTCTAGGATTCGTATTTTACGCAGCGGCATGCACATCGCTCCACTTGTTGTCATTAGACAACCCATGATATAAAATGAGACGTCAAAATTCCCCGTTAAGTCCTTCATAAACGCTAAAAACGAATGTAAGACCTCGACAAATGAAAAATACGTTCATTAGACAGAAGAACCGAAAATGTAAAGGTATACGAAAAATATAAATTATAAATATATAAAATAAAATAAAATATAAATATAGAATATAGGTGAAATATAAAGGCTTACATACCAGCCAAAGGAGATCCAACGATTGCACCAAATCCCATGAAGGTCAAAAGTATTCCGAAAGCGTTTGATAGCTTGGCGAGACCGAAGAGATCAACGCATATCACTGATCGTAAGGCAGCAAAACAGGCTGCAAAATTCGGCAAGAAAATTATGGAAGAAAAACCAAAGAAAGCAGACTTTGTACAGCACAAGTGCAGTTTGAGCTGAATTTACATAAAGATACTAATATATTAGCAAAATAAGAAACCTCAAGTGTGTTTCCAACATGCGACTGCCCACATCGGAAGCTGACATGCTGCCCCCTACACCGGCCGAGGCCATTCCTTTGCCTTTCTATCAGCCAGTTTTCTACCCTAACCTATCAGCAATCATGGAAATCACGTCATCAATGGAAATGATCTGGAGAAGGCAAATCGGCATTGAACCTAGTTAAGCTGTCACTGCCATCGAAATCACAAGTCTTAATCCTCATCTTCTGCTTATTTTTTTTATCCACTGGACAGAAAACGACTGAGAGAAAGAAAATGCAAGGGCATTGGTTTTTGCGATGGATAACACTTGAGCCTCCAAAAAGGGAAATCGCGGCTTCGAAGCCCACCTGAGGTTCCGAGTTTTGCTTATATCTCAGCATCCTTGTGGTTGCACTTCACATATTACCTTACCACGAGAAAAGAATGTGCACTAAATAAAGGTTAAAACATCGAATTCACATGTATGATTTTCCAATGAGGAAAACAGGTATTGCAGTGGTAGCAAAGCCGTTCAATAAGAGCACGGTGCTCCTCCGAACCCACTCCGGACTTATGAAGCTTCTCAACCTTACGGAGTCGGAAGCTTGATGGAAGACTTGTATGGCAATGGTTCACTCTCCGCGATCAAAACGTATACGCTCTAGCTCGACTATCCATCCCAAGACAGGCAGTATCGGTTTGCATTTAATGACATTCGTAAAGAAGATAAAAATCTTCATGCAGCATCCAAACCCACACGCGGAGGTTCGAAGACCTTCGCGGATGGTGGATGTGGGGAAAGGAATCGAGCGCACGAACTGCTGGTGTCTGCAGAGTAGACGTGATAACAGTTCGTATAGAAAAAGTTCGAAAATTTTCTAATGAAGATAGAAGGACATATAAAACTACCCACCAACCCCTGTGGCGAAAGGGATGCAGAAAACAATAAAGTGCCAGAATTCGGTGAAGAATGGAACCATACATGTGGCGATCCCCGCCACCATCACGGCTACGTTTGATACCAGAAGAGCGTCCACTTGCGGTCGATCAGCAATCCATCCAAAGAAATCATTATATTGACTTATCACATAGAACAGTTACTTAATTTAAATATTCAGTGAGTTGTTCGCATATGCTGCTCTATCGTTAACTCGATTGGATTTTTGTTAGGTGAGTAATGATGATTTTGAAGGAAACTTGATATAGAAACATAGAAGCAACTGAGTCACGAAAGATGCTGAATGGTGACAAAATCTTTGAGTGATGCATTCTGGGAGAGACTGGTTGGACAAGGTGCTATTCGTTTCCTGAGCCCCGATGAGGGTTGTTAATAATTAAATAAGTAATAATTAATTTTTAATAATTTTAATTTTTTTAACCGTTATTCCAGAGCCTTTAAGAGAAGCTTAATTTTGAATCATCTGTGAATGCCAATGACAATAGGCAAAAATAACAGAATAACAGAACATTATAGTTTCAAATATTTTTTTCTAACGAGTTTTACAACAAAAAAAATTTCAACATTAGAAATTAAAGAAACGTACCCACAAACAATCCTGGCAGCAATGTTTATTATACCAAGAAGAGAAATAGGCAAGGACTTTTGCGCTTGAGTGAGATTTCTGATCTGAATGTTTCAGCTCTCAACCAAGACTTAACCAGAATGCAGAAGGCCGAAGGTGTGAAAGACACCTTGCTGAGGTGTTGTCCAAGGTAATTATAAGGAACATAGAAACACGAAAGTGTTAAAAAACCAGAAACAGCAAGAATGATAAATGACGGTGAAGACAGCAATGAAGTATCCAATAATGTGTTGAGCGTCTGAAAACCGTTCATGTTTTTCCAGAAGTCTTTGCATGTGCTGCTCATTTTGTCATTTTCCTAAGCTCTTTATTCCGCAGCTCAACATCGTGAGAAAATAGGTATCATGCTTACCAGTTTCAGGTTGCGTCTCCAACCCACTGACTCGCTCTCACTTTCTCCGCCTCCATGAAGTCCGATTGTACTGAGATAAATGGTCGATTCAATTGTAGAGCGGTGACCACCATCCCGCTCCGTATCTTCGGTCGTTTTTCTCACTGTCAATAACAAACTTTTACTATCTGAGAATCACATGGAATTGTGCAAAAAGATAGAGAAATGTTGATGTTTTTCAACACATGTTTTCATCTTCCTTAATTAAAGCGGCAGAAAATAGAAGTGCCCAATGCTTCTTTCTATTCCGTTAAACCAAATGGACACATCAGGTTGACAGTGTGGTTTGATGAAATAGAACTCCTCTCACTACAACATACAATGATTTCAGCCTTATATAGGATTCTGATTAGAGGACATCACACACTTTTAGCACAACTCATCAGAACCTTTCAATTTAATTTGATTTGTAAATTAAGAAATCGTCTATCTTACAGTCTGCGCCATTTCCCGTGCCCGTTTATGGTATTTTCAAAGCTCGGAACTCCTTATTAGACCGTTTTATAAGGATTACTAATACATTGCATAGGAAACTCACTTTGAAATAACGAACGCTATTGGTTTATCTAGAAAAAAGTAGTACTACCGTACCAGTAACAACGATGCTGGGACTACTCCTCTTACGCAAATTTGTAGTTGATCCAGAGTAAAAAACATCCATTCGTGAGAGAGGTCGGTTGAGATCTCGTACAGATTCGCGAGCAACTGCTTGTACTATATTGTGGTGAGACCAAACGCCACTCTTAACAGCAATTATTAGTGCGTAATCACGAGAATTAAGCATTAGAAAAACTCCTTGCAAGTTATACCTATCAAAAAGTGACAAATCTCTTGGGAAGTCTAGTGAATGTACATGGCAGTAACCTAAGACCGGTCTTGCAATGCTATTGTAAAACTCCAGAAGAAAAGATATGTCAGTCCGCAAATTATCCATTAAATTTCGATCATATTGAAGTTCGCGAAGACGAGCAATCGAAGTATTTGAGTATTCGGGTAAGATGGACCACCACAGAAACCAAGTGATTTGTTAGAATATATTAAAGCCTACTTTGTTTTTACTAGCGTTGAGTTCAATAGTAGATAAGAATGGTCGATCCGGATTAAAGCGAGGTTTTGGCCCTGCCAAACGTTCAATGGCTACACCTTTAGCCACATGCTCAGAGTTGGAAAGTTCAATCTGAAAAAGTAAGCTCATAATATATGACACTGTGAAGCAACTCAATGAACACATAATGAGAGCAAAGAACAATGTTCCCTAAACTACGATCGCAAAAAGCAACCACATAATTCCATACTACCCTGTTGGAAAAAGATCTCTAAAACAGGCCACATTGTTATTACATTCTCTACTTAGCGTAGTATTGCGTTCATTGCTGGATTTTTATAGTCCTCGGTATCTTCATGACTTCACATAAAACTTGGACGAAGACTAAGAATATAACGAACTGTCTTAACTCTTTTATTTACTGCCTTTTTCTTCTTAACGGCAGGGTATGTTGTGAAATATAACTCATGAAATATAACTCATGTCATGTTCATCCCCACAAAATAGGAGGTAATTACTTAATTAAATAAAAAAAAATAAAAAGTCGAAAGGTGGAGGATGTGTACACTATTATTAGATCAAGTATAAAGGCGACATTGCTCTAATGTTGTTGGGTTATGTATATGTACGCTACTACTTGTTTTTGGTTACTATGATTCCAAATACAGCCTTTTTCGTTCCACAATCCCTGTCCCGGATCCCAAAATCCTTGTTGTAAAGAAGCCAACTGAAATTCTTTCCTATGAGACTTGAACTGCGATAGAAAGAGTGAAAAAGCACACCTTCAGGACTCTATAACATCATCACCGAATTCCTTGGAGCTGGAGATTACAGTTACATGTGCTTTTCCCAACCCACGTGACATCTTAATAAAGAAAAAATCTCACACCAGCGAAGAACCTAGCGCGTGATCATCCAAGAGAAATTAAAAAAGGAATCTTCGTAACCATTATGGAACATTCCTATTGAGTGCACTTTACAAGCTGTTCACGAAGAGTATCCTCTTGGGCATATCGAAGGCCTAGGATAAGACCCACTTGATCAATTAGGCCCCTGACAAAGGTTTTGTACTAGGTCGACTGTATCCATGCCGGGTCACGGATCATAGAATCTTTTCAGGAGTACCATCTGTTTTTATCCTAACCTTTCTCAACTACAAAAAAGCGTTTGACAGTGCAGAAGCGAACGCAATCCTATCAGACATCCTCCACCAAAGAATGGGCCTGTGCTGTATACTAACAGTTAAAGACTACTATCGAAACTGCAGCACAGCTGTGCTATTCAATGTTTTTCTTCAATAAGCAGACACGAGGTTGTTAATATAGAATTTATTAGAATACAATAGCTGACATTTCGGCGGTTCCGCCTTCTTCAGAACCTGGAAAGGTCAAATTGAGATGCGATCTACTCAGCCAAACACTTTCATAACCCCAACAGATAAAACTTGACAATTCGATTTGCATTCGCATAAGAAACAGCTTCATTCAATCACCTACCGTTTATTTGTTGTAAGTATTTAAGTTAGTTGGTGGATAGCCGCCGCACAGAGTAATACATGGGCGATAACTGCGCCTGTGTCAGGTCATTGGATTAGCCTGAGGTATGGCGCTGATTTGTATTCTAATAAATTCTATATTAACAACCTCGTGTCGGTTTTTTGAAGAAAAACATTGAATTGTCAATTAATGCCGAGGTTAACAGAAAGTCGATCTTGGGAATAGGTATGCAATTTTTCGTCACCTCCATAAAATATTCATGAGATAAGGGAATTCTACAGAGCGACACAAGATCTCCAATTCTGCTTGCTGCCGCACTGCAGTGGATAGTGAAATCACCAGAATGGTATGAGAAAAGCGCAGTTGCTGATGCAAGTTTTATTAAATCTATATTTCAACGATAACATTATCATCATCTCAGGAAATACCAACAAGGCAGAGACGACGATCAACGAGCTCGACGAAAAGTGAAGAAAGATCGAAATACACATGAATAGGATGAAGACCCAGTTCACAAAAGCCGATAGTGAGTGAGCGAACAGATCAATGTGGATGGTTTGCTGACTACAGAGGTCGCCTCCTTTGTCGGCGTTCAATGAACATTGAGAACAACATGAACTAGTAATTAGACTGAAGAAGGAGAGCAGGAGCCAAGGACCTACTCAAGGGTCCTCAAATCCGCGCTCACCTTCTCGATTCAAGTCTTGACAGCGGTGTTATACAGCAGTGAGCTGATACTTCAACCACGTCAGTATTACTGCGTACTACTCGCAGAGCGCTTGAACAGTGTCTTCTGAAAGTTAACATCCACTTACAACGTTTAACCGGAATAAGCATCTCAGATCTATTGGAACCTATCCCATCTTTGAGAACCAGCAAAACAGACATCGATGGTGAAACTAGATTGGCCTGTCATACAACGAGGTGAGCAGACATATGGATGAAAAGAACCACAGCCCATGAGGGTGTAGCCGGAATACAGGTCAAGGATGAGTGAAGATAATCGTAACTAAAGTCCATCAGCTGTACTTGCAAGTGCAGTTGTTTGACAGATCGTAGTATGAGACCCGCTCTCTGAAACTATGCTCGAGTCGAAGCACCACCACGAGCGACGATAGCGAGGCGAAGAAACGAATGGAAAATGGGCTGGTGTGGACACAATTCGTAAAAACGTGCTGCTTAAGTGTCAAAGCAGTTATTTGCTATTGGTTACTATGATCTATAATATATAATAGAAACACGCTGCTGCCAGTAATTTGAAGGGTTTTGTTGTTTATACTGAGTTAGTTTCTATAGTTTTTTAAATCCATCCGTTCTACACGACAACTGCGACTTATTATAGCGATTGAAAATAAAGTAATAATCGATTTTCGGCACATGAACCTGTTCAAAGTAAGCTTTTTGTATATTTCTGAAAGCATAACGGAGCTTTTTCCGAGTAACATCCGTTAAAACAACTGTGCTGTTTAGGCGATTGATTACAAGACATTTAGGGGAGAATTCTAGGAAGTAAATGACAACATCAAAAGAGAGAGAGAATATTCTCTAAGAGGTAGAGAATAGTTTTTAAGACAGTTGTAACCCTTGCCTCAAACCTAAATAGTGGTGATTCTAAAATTGCGAGTTACCATGAATGGTTTTTGTGGATGTGGTAAATTTATACTGCCGTTCACCTTGTTCCCTGTGTTGATGCAAACTTGCTTTATTGACACTACTTTACTACCCACCACCCTAGGTACGTGCCAGGTAGCCTCGCAAGCAAAAGAATGGGGATGCTTCAAAAAGGAGAGCCCATAGTTGAAAGATATGACATAGAAGAGCGGGTAGCTCTGTGGCAGTCTTCCTGTTTATCACGGTCGAACTTAAAAAGGCCATTGGTTCGACACTGCACAGCGGTCAAGAGCCGCAGAACTTTCCATTGATACAGAATTGGGAGATGGGTGCCGGTCTTGTCTGAGACGATCTCACTCTTTACAACCTACAGGAAAAATCCTTAGCACGGCTATTTCAAGATTACCAGAAGAAAAGCGCGGCCAGCATTTAACGACATTTGTCACGAAGATAAAAAAATGCTCCAACAGTAGTTCGAAGAGTTTGAAGGCCTTCGTGGCTTGTGAAAACGAAGAAATTAATCGGATGCAAGAAGTGCTGGAATCCGCACAGGGTCATACGTGTAATATAAAGTCCTAAAAGTAGAAATTAACCAAAAATTACCTTTTGCACAAAAGCAGGGAGAAACGAAAATTGTACTTCATAGGCTCTTAAAACTAGTGCAATAGTGTCTTGACTTTCATTTACTTCCTCTACTTTTTTCATGACTTGGCACGAAGTGAACTAAACCACCCCTTCGATACTGAGTTATAAGCAAATGTTTAATATATATATATATATCAAACATATATATATGTATATATATAACCACAATGATGTTGAGATATTTGCTATGCTCCGGAATGGAGGTATATGTGGCGTGGATTGAACGTAGCTATTACCTTTTCCGGAGATTAACGTGTTCAACACCATATCATGCGCTTTCTTCACTTTGCCCTTCAGATATATATATATATATGGTGTATATGGTATACGTATACTGTAAATGATGTATATTCTCATTTCCGCTGATGGGTGATTGATGATAACGCGGACGGTGTAAAAACATGGCTGAGAGAAGGGCAAAGCAGGGTCTAGGTTAATGTGATGGATAACACGTAATCGTCGAAAAGGGTAATCGCTGGTTGGAAGGCCATCTATGCTTCCGAATTTTGCTTATATCTCAGCATCCATATGGTATAATAGGTTTTTACCTGAAACTCACATTAGTTGTGTGTCAAATAATGTCTATTTGCTTCAAATTTGATTCTATCATTCGATATGTTTTTACATTTTGCAAAACTCGAATTTCATGTATTGTGCAGATACCAGCGCTTCTTTAATTTTGTTCATTATCTCGCAACGTCAAGTGGCGGAGTGGTTGGAGGCGCCACCGTGACACACACGTGGAATGGATCCCCGCGCCCCTATGGCCCACTAAGCTTTCCATCCTTCCCGGGTCGACAAATTGGTGGCAGACTTGTCTGGGAAGGTAGCCGCAGTGGCTCGACACATTGGTAGGCCACTGCGAGTCATTATAAAGGCCAGGTGTGCATTCAATCACCTCCAGTGATAGTTAATGAAGTCGAATGCGTGGCACATCCCTCAGAGATTGATCAATGCCGAGAGGTTTATGCTTTATTTATCCTTTTATTCCACAACGTCATCTGCGGACTTCCGTTCGGTTCAACTACCAATAGAGCAACCTGTCCTATTAATGAATGTCGAATACTTGTCAAGTAGATGTTCTTTAGGGTTTTGGGGTGGCTCTACAAAAGTGTTCATAGGTGTGCACTACAGAAGTAGTCGAGGCAGGCGGATCGGAAGTGAGCTTTTCCAGACAAATGTGGTAACAATTTATGGACTCGACCCAGAAGGAGTGGGGTGCTTGGCCAGGAGCGGAAGTCGGAGTGGCGATCATGTGTCTAATTCACAGCATCTCTCTCCATTGCGCTTCCTTCCCTTCTATTAAATGATATGGTAGGATGCCTCGATCATCGATTTTTGTGTGTTTTCCTGTTTACTGCCTTATTCAAGTCTTGACTGACGTTGTAATTCTAGAATGTTTCCCAACGAATAATTGTTAGTGAGACTGCTATAAATACCGGAATCATCATCACGAACAACATCTCTCTACATTGTTTAAATAACAAGGGCATAAGAAAAGAAGGTACCAGAGATCACCTCGTGGTGTTGTTCAAAGTCCTCTGCGATTCTGGCTACCTAAAAACAACTTCATCTTGTTTGTTTCACATAGAAACAATTCAGGAGAGTAACATCGAAACCTCTTCAATTTGCTCAGAACTTGGTTCCATAGGCACATAGACAATCGCACTAAAAATACAGATGAGCGAACAACCAGCCAGGTAAATAAGAAATAGTCGCCAATTTTCGCCGACGATATCCATGACAAGGGGATTGATCTGAATGTCAAAAAATCACACTAGGATATAAACTGTTGATTTACAATGTTCAAACAACGCTGTCTATGAAACTGTGGGTGTGTTTAAATGTTAATACTAACGTTGTTCGGAAATTATTGTCGGACCTGCGATTTCATTTTTCTTGTATGTGTTAGCGGTAGTTCTTTATCCACTATCATATTATTACGCGTAATTATTATGCTTTCGCTCTGTATAATAAAATTATAATTTAAACTGCGTTATTGCCAACTCATATAAGTTATAATGTCAGACGTCCAAACAGCAATTTCGACAACTTCCACTTCCATGAATTCGAAACCGAGCACTCAGTTCACATACGGCTCGAAATATTAGTGAGATATGGGCCAAAGATGTAGGTAAAGAATGCATAGCACAACACTGGTCTTAAAAATTTCGCCGTGGTGGATTCGACATTGAAGATGAGGTCGGTTGCGACCGTCTTTCTACTTTTGACGACTATGAACTGAAGGTTTCCGTGCAAGAAAATACCCGCACATTTGCTAAAGAGATTGCATAAGAACTTGGTGGTAGAGCGTAAACTGCATATAAACAAAAATTAAAAGTTTAAGAAGTTCAACAAGCGAATACTGCACACGTTGAGTGAAATTCGAAGAAATCGCCGTTTTGAGGCACCAACGGCGGGTATGCACCACGACAGCAACTCTCTAGAGTGTGTTTTGATGTGCTGCGACAAATGAATCCTCAGTGATAAGCAGCCCCAATCAACTAAGTGATTGGATGGCGGCTAAGCTTCGCAACACTCCATCCTAAATTGACCAAAGTTTGATCACGCTGACCGATTGGTGATATACATTTGCCGTAATTACTCACGACTTCCTGAATCCGAGAGGGAACGGTTACGACAGAGAACTACTCCAGCAGGTTAACGAAATAGGCGAGAAATTTTAACGGATCCGCTCGACATTAGCTAATTGTAGGGCATCGATGCTTCTCCACAATAAGGCATGGCGGAAAGTCACACTACTGACAAAAGTGGAACGATCCGGCTTATGAAACTTTGCTTCGTCTGCAATAACAACCGGACCTCTCGCCTAACGGCGAATGCTCCACGCATTTCGATAAATTCCTATGCGAGAAATGCTTAGAAAACCGGAGAAAGAACCGGAATGAAGCTTCGGAAACCAATCTGAGGTTGCAACTGCCTTCGACGATTTTATCGCTCACAAAACTCCAGAATTTAAGCAATTGGAATAGACGAAATCGTTTCACATTGAGAAAAATGTAGAGATTCTAACGATTTTCGTCCCAGCTAACAAAGTTTATTCTAAGCTGAGATACACAAATTCGAAAATATAGGTTGAAATCGGACAGTAATTTCCAGAGCCATTAGTAGCATAGTAAGAAAAACACGCCTTACTGTGGAAAATAATGTTGTACCAATACCCGATCCGCATACAGCTAAACCCGTAGCCAATGAACGATTCTCGGCGAAATACTGAGCGATGACAACAATTGCAGGCAAATAGATAAGGCCAAATCCGACTCCTAAATGAATTATGTCAATATTGCTTCAATGATGCTGAGATATTTGCAAAACTCCAGACCACAGGTGTCTGCGGTAGGAAACGAACCCGCTATTGTCTTTTCCGGGGAGTAACGCGCTCACCACCACACCATGCGGGTTCCTCGTTTCGCCTGTCATTCAACTAATTCTATCGATCTCTGCCATCAGCAATCACCCGTTAGCGGGATTGATCTTTTCTTCTTGAACTACCCGGAAAGGACAATAACGCATTCGTTCCCCATCGCAGACACCTGCGGTCCGAAGTTTTGCAAATATCTCAGCATCATTGAAGTTCTATTTCGCAATATACCCTGCCATCAAAAAGAGTAGGCTGCAAATAAAACGGCTAAGAATATATCAATATTCTTTAATAAAAACTCTATTTCTGCACTAAGATACAATGGCTCAAAGAAGTAACGCTTTTTAACGTTTGTCACCAGCTGCTTTTTATCTGTTTCCATAGGTGAATCCTCCACCGAATTCTTCATAATGCGAGCGAATTCAGTGGAGTATCTGAACTGAATAAACTGCTGTTTGTTCTCAAAATTAAAACGAAAATGGTTATATGAACGCAACTCAGCTGCTATTGCGTGGATTCGAAAGCTGTATGTGTTCTTCAAAATCATTAGTAATAGTTTTTTATTTTTTTTTATGTGGTCGTCAACCATATGCGACTATAATCAGCTGTTCTAAACTTCCTCATTGGAAGTCACGAAAAAGCAGCTCTGAAGAAGGCGATACTGCCGAAACGTCAGCCAGCGTTGTATTGTATTGTGTTTTTATGGAAGTAAATGTATGCTGTTTAAAAACCTCGCGATTGCTGAACAAGAAAACGACACATTCATAGTTTTTTATCTTTTTTTTTTTGAAAATTTTAAAATGCCAGTGTTCTCAAATGTTCGTGCTCGGGCTCCTGAAAATGTTTTTTGGGGAGCGAATGGGGGCCGTGAGAAACGAAGTGAATTATGTTGAATTCTGGATTTTTTTTCAGCTGTCATCATACAAATCGAAATCTTTTAAGCGAATAGAACCAGAAAGAGATTTTCAGTGGTACTTGCAGGCTGTTTCTCACAATGGACTTGCAACCTGCCTGCCAGCGTGTTATATAGAAGAGATTGGAAAAAAAAACCTCCAACTAGTCCGAAACTGAAGTATAGAAAGGCGATCTGAGGAGCTATTGTGGAACATATGAAACCAAAAAAAGAGAGCAGTGAACCAGTAATTACAATAGCACGACAGCCGTACATGTTAGCGAGAGCGGAGGCGATGGGACCTAAAAATGTTTGAATTGGTAGCTAAATTAACACCATTACCATAATGGTCATTTAGAACATGCTTAAAATTTTTTTAAACTAACCTACTAATAGGTACGTGCCACTCAAAATCGAAAGAGTTAACGCTGACGCTGTGTCAGAAGTAGCAAAGTCTTGCTGCCATAGTGATAAAAGAGCATCACCAGACGTGAAAATTATACCATCCACCACTAGATTGGCTATGAACGAAGCGAACACAACAATCCAGCCATATCCGCCTAAAATTTTAAAGCCCATATCTAGGGAACTAACTGAGAAAACGCTGTTGTGATTATAGAACTCCCATCTCCATTATGTCTCTCCATTATAAACAGTGTTAGAGAGTTCCCACTAAATCAATTTCCAATGAAAATTTACTGAAGCAAATAGTACTAAAAAACAATAGCTCTCTCTAAAAGAAACAGGCGCATGTAACGCACAGGTTAAACTACACAACGTTTCCCTAAGTACTGCATCAACGCAGGAAGATCAATGTTTTCAAACTTCAATAGTAAGCCATTCCTTTTGTTGTCAAACTCATTATCAGAATTAAACTGCTTGTGTTTGCTCACCTAAGGTTTTAAAGCTATAGGAAATTTTCTGTTAATTTAATCAGAGCAGCTTATGGGTCGTCTGTTTTTGAGTTAAATTTCCAAATCCTCTAAGCATACGAGCACCATCTATATACACTGTTAACGCTGCTGCCTCTCTCTTCTGTCGTTGGTAAATCATAGAAAGCAGTCAAAAACATGAAAACTTTCTCTGACAGGAAATATGTATTTACCGGCTGAGTTGCAAGTCTATGAATGTTCTTGTAAGACGTAAAGGTCTATAGTGAGTCGCAAGGACTAAAACTCACTTATGAAGTGTAGTTTTGGCACAAATTGTTACAACGCAGTACAATGAACTGATAACGCAGTCACACATTTAAACAGTGGAAATATAGCTAAAAGTAGTTAAAAAAAACAACTACGTGGTGGAATGGTATTATCAAAACCAGTTCCATGAAAAAGACTAATAAACTTTTCGCTCTAACCTTACAGTATCCTTCGCTACTTTTGATAAAAGAGTAGCCAAAACGTGCAAAACTGTTTGATTATTTGCAATATGAAGGATTATAGTTGCACGTAAAAAAATAGGAGAAATCTAAACATGCCATCAGGAGGCTTAATGAATCCAACTTCTTCGAGATCCTTTTCTACTCTTGCAAGATCGTCTTGATTTTTCGATTCTTCCTCCTTCGTTCCTTCGCTCATTTCCAACTCATAAATTCTGCAATAGTATATTTTGTTCGACTTCGCGTCTTCTAGACAGCTGTAAAACTGGAAAGTCAGATCAATTTAGAAATTTGGTGGAAGAAAGCAGAGTGGAAGAAAGAATGAAAAGTTTATTAACAATGATACATGAAAAGAGAGTGATGGAAGGAGCAGATAGGAGCAAAGTGTTTAAGAACTTTTACCAAGAATGACGATGAGGGCAAAGAATTCACTAAGACGATTAAAACGTTATCGGAAAAGTGCGGTGATCTAGTGGGAATGGCATAGATTCCATTATTAAGCTATCATTACTGAATTATCCTTCTTAAACCTAACTTTTGAGGGTGCTGGGCCTTTCCGATTTCCTACATTGAGCGCAAATATATATATATATATATGTATATATATATATTAACAATTGGATTCACATCACAGCAAATCTTAAGGTCTATAAGAAAGTGAAGACAAATGATCGACATATTTTCTACACATGTGAAGGCAGGACCAGAAAACACAGATTCTTGAGCGAAAAGAGAAACTAGATTAGTCCTCAAATTTATGGGGGTACTAACGTCTTATTTGAATAGCAGAAATTTTACTAGAAACTTCATTTTAAAAGTTTGTGAAGTTATACTACTTTAGATGCTGACTCTTTAAAGCAGCACAATTGAAACCGTGTGAAACCTATGGTGAGGCACAATTAAACATTATGGCACATTAATTATACCTAGTTACTTCGATATTTGATTTGTTCATTTTCACGGAGAATTCAGTGAGCTGCGCGACAGTTTTCACTTGACTGCTGATTTGCTTAATTTGTTTATCGAAGATGATTTTTTCTTTCTCTTCGACTTGAGTTAGCTTTTCTAGGACTTCTAACCGCACACATATTTTCGCCAACGATTGTGGATCAGAGGGGGTTTGCCACATTTCCCAGGTTAATATTAAGAAATCGATGTTTTCTGGAATTTTTTACTTCTCCTGGCTTCTGGATTGAAATATCAACCTTATTCCCAGCTTGGAACGTCTTTCTGAGGATTTTGGTGACACAACCTCACATGTAGTGCAACCTCCCAGCATTTCTTCCAGTCGCTTTGCCGTCTTGTCTTGCAACCGTGAGCCTTGGAGATAATAAACTTCAGATGCGGATTTGGCTGAAGCCGTGGACTCCTTTCCTAACTTAAATGGTGGCTGAGTATGATTTTCTTTGAACTCCCGAGTATTAGAGCATTCTGACGTCTTCGGTACAATCAACGCTTGTGCATTAAAGGAAGGACTGCTTCTTTAGGTCCGGATTATTGGCATAAGCGAACCTTTCGATTAATAAACCGAATCATCAAGTATGAGCAAATGCGAGCCAGAAATTCATAAAATGCTTTTGCTTTTTCATTACATGACCAGACATCATATATAATGTACTGTGCGGATCCCATCATTCCTTGCACTCGATTCGTTTCCTCGCATCCACTATCTGTGAAAGCCCGTCGAAGTTTTCTGCTTGTGGGCTCGGTTGATACATGAAGGCTTTTCGTCTTTTGACAAATCTTGTCGAACTAATCTGGAAACGATTATCCTACCTCGGAATGATGACAGGCCTGGTGAACCTGGAGCGGAGTCGTACAAGCGTCATCGAAATAGTATAACTGTTATCATATTCTTACATGCGACCCGTATCTAGCGATCTATTCCCGATTATTTATTTGAAATCTACTATCGGCAACAAGTTACTGAACGATTATCACCCCTAACTATTACTAGGAGGAAACATAGCAAAGTGGAGTACTACAGAGAAACTAACGAATATAACTAGTGAAGTAGATATAATCGGAAGTCTACAAAGTCTTTAGATATAGAGCTGAACACAGTTTGATGAGTTACGCAACAATACGAAGTGATACTAACATGTTTGGCCTGATAAAAGCGACCTCTAGAGGCGGTTGCTGAAAGGTTTGCTCTCCCATGAAACTTCGGTATAAGCACATCTATTGATGGTGGACGCAGTGATCAATAAGCGAGTACTTTAGAGACGACACTTGTCATGAAAGCAAAACGAAGTAGAGATTTGTTTTTGATAAAGACCATGAACATCTACAAGAAAATGGCAAATTAATATTGTGGTTGTGAGATAAAAGAGGAGATACGTGGAAGTTTCTTTGAAAAGTTTATTCGATACCGTTCTTCAACAAGAAATCGAACACAAAGGTAGAAACGATTAGTTGAACGTGCATCGGTATCTAAGATTCATTATGTTGGTGCTGTGGTTCTTTGTGTTAGTGTTTTAATTCAGCGCTCTTTCTTTCATCAAGAGAACGACACCTTCATCTGTACAAGTTGTATTTATGCCTATACCTTTCGGAAAGCGTCATTTATTTCAGAGAATATCAAAGATGTGGGCGCACAATTGAAGAGTAATGACGTAACAGTCGCTTTGTCACCATAAATAGCGGCACATGTTCACTTTCGTGGTATCACATAGCCAGTTTATTCTAGGATAGGACGAACGTATCAGTTTCACCAACCATCTGAGTGATACATACGGCGAAATTTCGACCACTAATCAAATCGCCAATGATTCGTTTCACGTTATGTCACGATGCTCAATAGGAGTTGCTATACTCATAAGCATTTACAAACAATTCGTAAAAGAATATGTGAATTTATACGGTGGCGGCCATAACATGAAACCTCAGAATTCAGCAGTTAGCGAGGGTTTCACTGCCTAGTAGAGCAGATTTTCCTAATCGTTTAGCCGAACCATGCCGATCGGTCGCGTTCCACACCGGTTTATTCAAATCATTTGTGGTTAGCAATGGGCCAACGAGTGAATCATGCTTTTCAATGTTATGCATTCATTACTGTGAGTGAACTTTTCGGACAAAGTCACATTGTCTGTGAATTTTAAATGATGAAACTTTCAACAGTTCCCAAAATCGACTTTCTATTAACTTCGGCATTGGATTCTAAATCTGTTGCTCTCTTTTTTACAGCAATCGCGAGGTTGTTAAACTGCATACGTTTACTTCTAACACACATACAACACAACGGTAGCCGACGTTTCTGCAGTATCGCCTTCTTCAGAGCCTTGAAGTGTACAATAATATGTAATTTACTAGGTCAAACGCTTCAACAACGCAAACAGAAAGATGAAAATCTGAAAAATAATTACAAGACTAGCAGCATCTCGAAAAACCCCGTTTCCTACCTGCCTTCCACCGCGACAGGATTTCCGAGAATGAATAGCAGAAAAGAATGCCCTGAGATAACGCGTGATCTAGCACCGTATCTGAGAACTGATTTCTGATGTGGGGTAGTGCGGGAATCAACCATATGCGACTCTAAGCGGCTGTTCATTCTTGGTGGAAAACAGATAAAATCGGTGGGTTTTTCGAGAAACCGGTGGTCGTGTAATTATTGCTCAGACTTTCATCTTTCTGTGTGCGTTGTTGAAGGGTTTGACCAAGTAAATTACATATTAGTGTACCCTTCGAAGCTCCGAAGAAGGAGATACTGCCGAAACGTCAGCTACCGTTGTGTTGTATGTGTTATATTTGTAAGAAAGTAAAAGTGTGCTGAATAACAACCTCGCTATTGCTGTAAAAAAGAGAACAACAGATAAAACTTTCATTAATTACAGCAAGTGGTAAAAATGTAAGAGCAGAATATGGGGTTCTATATTTCGGACGAATTTCTACACGACAACGAGGTTGCACTAATGGACAGCGAAAAGTTCATTGGAACTCGAGTCGATCAGCTGTGATTGAATCAATAGCAGTGGAAATGTTTTGGAATTGCGATGTGTAATCGAGACGTCGGTCGGTCGTAAGGAACGTATCATATTCTAGTTGACACCACCATACATATAGATGATGAAAAATGATTCAGCCCTGCGCCAAAAAAAAAGATGAAATGAAAGCGAAAACAAGTAGGAAATCTTTTCCAGTCAATTCTCTCATGATGATTTTGCTGTTATGTCACGACGCACTTGAGAACGTCATGTGTTTCAGCGGTAGTAATGTCACGTAGTAACGGCATTACGTAACTATTGGAGCAGTCACTATCAGAAACACACAAAGAGTGGTGAATTCGTTGACTGCTATGTGACAGAGTAGTCGCATTCATTTACAGCTTCCACTAAAACGCAACATCCTATTCATTGAGTCGTTTCATTCATATTATCAGCCGAATGTGACATTTTCACAATGTAATCGAAACAAAACAAACAGCAATAATCCACTTAACTATTTCATGCAAAAAACGAACATCTTGGAAAATCTTAAGCGAAATCAAGAATATTCCTGCATGATGTCCCAAGATGCTCATTTCATTCAAATCTCACAAGCTGAAGTCCAAGTCGGTTTCTAAGGATTTCTCTGCTGAGATTAATATACTATTCGCTTTTATGTTTTCATGTCTGTTCGATGTTGATTATTATTTCTTCATTGTTTGTCTCTCTATTTTCCAGTATCTGGTGACAATGAGAGTGATATAAAGGCTATAAGTGAAAGCTAAACGAATTACTTAGCGCACAAAGCTTTGAACTGTTCCTGGGTTTGCAGCATCCATGAGCCTTGAGTAATACATAAATGTGAAAAGGTCGTGAAAATGATACAGAATCGTAAAGAAAAATGAATGTATCTTTCTACTTCTGTTCAGCAAACACGAGGTGCTATTTTATTTCTTTATTTACGCACAAGCTGACGTTTCGGCGGATTTCGCCTTCAGAAATGAATGTCACATATTGATCGTTGTGTAAGAGTTCAAGGGGAAATGCACCTCCACACAACCTTTAAGGCCAGAATGACAAGAATTACTGCTGATCATGAACAACTAGACATAGCTTCAATTATCTGGAATATAGCGACACTCTACGAGCGATGAGTTAATTCTCCGTCAATCATGTTTCTTATCTTTAAAACATTGCACTTTTCCTCCACTAATCTTAATTGCTCCATATGGCAGGTCAATCACAGTGAACTTTTGCATTTCCGAATTTGCTCTCT